CTGTCTCCTCCTCCTCTGGAAGGGTCAGGCTGCGGAGGCAGTCACCATCATTCCTCCTCTGCCTAGTCCCTGACACTGGCACCTGTTGCACAATTCCTCCATAGCAAATAACCAACTAAAGAAGAGAAAGTGTTGTGGGCAATCCAGTCAATGCAATCCACATGTAGGAGAAGGTTGCTACAGGATGGCCTATAGTTGGCACTACTCACATTTCCCTTTCAGGGACAAAGGTGAGGAGATTGCAGCTAGATGTATGGTGGCATGTGTTTAATTCTATGCCCAACATGCTGTGGCAGTCTCTCTCTCTCTCTCTGTGTGTGTATATGTTGCCAAAGCAGGGCACCCTACTCTATACACACAAGATACCACATGAGTTAGTGCAGTGGGTAGCCTTCTAAGCCTCAAAATAATTCTAAATTAAAGTTGAAATTATCAAAGAAAGCTATGGGTTAATGCAAACATGCAGAAATTGCAAGTATTCCCCGTTGTGCCACAGGGAACCCTGATGGCAAGGTTGCCCAATCTGGACCCATCAGCTTTCTTCTGATTTCTGTTTGATGCTTAATGTGTGGGCGCAACTTGCACAAGTGCTTCATGACATTGCTTTCAAAAGATGGTCACAAATAAAGAAAAAACCCTCCAAAGACTCATAAAACCTGTTCAAGAACACAATGATGAAAATGTATCTAAAAAATGGAATATTTTTCGTACTCCTCCTCCTTTTTTTAAAACAACAACAACAACAACAACAACAAAATGCTGCTAGACAATAATTATAAAATGACATACAATGATGATCCTGTGATGACAGATAGACCTTGAGGTGCCCAGATGTCTAGCCACTCATAGATTATGTTGCTGGAATGGAGTCTAAGTGATCTACACTCAGGCTTCTGCCCATCCACCAAGGTCAAATGCAGATTTGCCATGCAAACGGTAAAAGAAAAGTCTCAGCACTGCATTTATTTAACGCAACTAACAAAAGGCTTGCTATTTTGACAGCTGGGGAAGGTGCAGTGCACAGCAAGGTCCCTGTCAGTTGGGGCTAAGCTGCACAACACTGGACTGTGGTAGCAAAAAGCTTTTCATTTATATATAGAATTGAATAGCAACCATTCACGAAAGTAAAAAGGGCACTGCTCCTGGTTTTCATGATCCACGGTGATCTCTGCCACGAGGAAGATGCAGTGGCCCAAACAATATGATGAGAGGCATGGCCAGAACTATCTGAGCCTTTCTTTGTCTTGGAGTGAGATCAGGACCTTTGGACAGGAACAAAGGCACAAAGGCAAAGGGGTTCAGGACCATGGACAGCAACCCAGAGTGCTTCTGCTTTCCCAAATTCAGAGTTAGATTTTCATCCCCCAAGTCTAGCCCTCCACAAAGTCCAGGCACTGGTCCAAGACTTTGCATGGTCTCTCCTGATTCAGATGCTACCGAGAAATAGAGAAGGGTTCCATCAATGTACTGATGACACCTTCCAAATGACCACCCCCAACAGCTTCATGTAGATGCTAAATAGTATTGGGGACAAGATGGTGTCCTCAAGACCATGCTGCACCTTACAGCACAATGACCAGGGAGCCAAAATATAATCACCAAATGCTAATACCAGAAACTGATCCCAGAGATTGGACCAGAACCACTGTAAGCCTGTGCCTCCAATAGTCATCTCACTGTTTGTTGAGGAGGATACCATGGTTAGTGGTATAAAAAACCACAGAGAAATCAAGAACAATAGGGTCACAACAGGGTCCTTCCCCCAATAAGAATAATCCTTATTGGCCTTGGTGAAGACTTGATATTTTCATCCCCCAAAAAGTTTTTTATTTGAGTTCCTACTGAAATGAGGCTGCATTTTAATGTTTTAATGTTGTATTTTAATCTTGTTTTTAAGTTGTATTTCAATCAATTGTTTTTATACCTGTGTCAGCTGCTCTGAGCCTGGTCTTGGCTGGGGAGGGTGGTGTATAAATAGATGATGATGATGAATGATGATTAATCCATCAGGGCAGCCCAACTCAGAGCAAGGCCAAGGCTTGAACCTGGACCAAGATGGGACATGATAATTCATCCAAGAGTACTTGTAACTGTCTCACCACAATCTTCTCCACCACCTTCCCCCCCAAAAGGGTTTAGTTGTGATTGGGTGCCACAATTCAGTGGGTCCAGGGTGGGCTTTTATATATACATAGAAGTGGTTGAACGACTGCATCTTTGAAGATGGCCAGGACAAATACCTCCCGCAAGGATGTGGCCTTCCCAACCTTTCTACCTGTAGTCTTCAGGAATGCACACTTTTGCTGTTCTGTGGATCTGTATATTCCTGAGTAGCCATGCTTCTAGTAGTCTGACCCGAGGCTTTCCAAGAGAGGCCAGGTAGCAAATAAACATAAAATACGCCCCATCCAAAATACAGGTCTCTAACGGCAAGACATTATTAGCCTTCAAGCTTAATACGCACTTGGCCTTGCTTTACTGCCAGGCAATAACATTATACATTCCTAATAAGAATCCCAATGTGTGAATCCTATCCCCCCCCCCCGCCCGAACTGCATGGTGTTGCTTGAAGAAATCATAAAACACTGGAGCAAAACAATAAAGTGGCTTATAGTGGGATCCACATCAAGCTAGCCTTAGCAACAGCCAAGTTGAGAAACTTGCTTTTATTTTTGCTTTAGGTTATGAAACATTGGCTTGGTAATGCGGGACATGCATATTTGATACTTTAGCTTCAGGTTTTGTTCTCGGGCTCTCCAAAGCTAAATCACCTGGGCTAAGGAGAGTAAGATGGCAAATTGGCCTTTCCTCCTGAAGCGCTGTTTGTTAGCGGCGAAGCTACCCTATGTTACTACCTGTATAGGCTAGTTCTGTATAGAGAAACTGGGGCCCTCATGTAAAAGACAGCTGCATCGGTTTTAAGCTCCACACTAGGAGGAAAGGAGAGAGGAAGAGGCAAATTTTTCGATGTCTATCCCTGTACTCCCCGTGCCCTTAAAAAAATCAGCTTAATACACAACAGAGTTGGGGGACTCTCTGGAGTAGAATAGAAAATGATGCTGGAAACTACAGGAGAAGGGGTGTGGGGTATATTGGTCCTCCTGGCCTGACATACTAGGAAGGCCCTTGAGTTAGATTTGGGCCATTGCTCTGCAAGCCTCTTGCTGCAAAGTTCTGAGTGATTATGCACCCTTTCTCGTGGCCACCTCCTTAGGATATTTCCTAGTGGTGATGAGGGTCAGAGGTCAGAGGCCAGCCCACATGTGCAGATCACAACAGGTTATTAAGTTGTGCTGGTTCTAGAAGGCCTTGGGTTGAGTCCAAAGTGCTTGCTATACAGACCGCACTGTATCACAACATGCTTCTTCTTTGAGACTGTAATGCCATTTGCTGCCAAGTAAAGCCCCAGTCTAGCTGCATGACTTTACCTGCAAACTAGGCAAGCTAGGCAATATGAAGCCTTCCATGAACTCTGCCCCAACTGATGAAGGGTGGCCAAATAAGAACGGGTTGGTGGTGTTAGGATAGTTCTGTTCCACCTTAAAAGGTCAAGCATGATTGTTGTGTATCACATGCCTGTTTACTTCCAGTTCTCGCTGGGAACTTCCGTTTGTATATAGCTTTTGTTCTGGTTTCTTTTCCTGGACACGGAGGCAAACAGTCATGGTTTTCCTTTGTTCTGAACTACGTTGAATAAATATGCTCTCCTGTCAGCATCTTTCATTGTGGAGACTATGCTGAAAGGGTGTGCACTGGTCTTGGAATGTCTCTGAGGCTCGTGTCGCTAATTGACTGATGTTGTTCCACGGGAGACCGGTGATCGTCCGGAGACAACTGGGGGCCTGCCTGATGCCTCTGTCTCCCTGGCAGTACCCAACAGGTGGGTCTCTCAACTGTGGAATACTTTCCCCAGGGATAACTGCCTGGTGCCATCCTTGTCAATCTTTGGGTGCCAGGCTTGCCTTGCCCATTCCTTAAAGCAGTGTTTCCCAAACGTTTTGGGCAACGGCACACTGTTTACCGGAAAAAAAATTCTCCCGCCGGCACACCACCATTAAAGCCCCGCCCGTGACGTCAGCGCGCAGCGTCACGCCGGGAGGGACGCACCAAAAGTCAAAGTTTTTTCCCTCCCCGCGAAGCAATGAAAGAGGGCGCCTCAACACCGGGAGGTGGGCAGGGAGCGGGGGAGCGGCCAGACGGGCTCCGCTGGGGGACTTTCGGGCTGCCGGAGGCGGGGAAGGGGCGGCTGCAGCGGACCCGGAAGTGGTTGCGCCCATCGGGGGCGGTGGGAGCGCGCCGTGCGGGTTGGTGGGTGGGGGAAGGAGAGGAAGAGGAGGGGGCGGCGGCGGGCGGCCGGAGGCTGGACGGATCCGCGCAGGGACGGCGCGCGAGCCGGAGGAGGCGCGAAGAAGGAGGCAAGGCGAGAGCAGCGCGGCTCGGGATGCATTCGGACTGCCGGCTGCTGCGCCCGAGACGCGGGGTATGGTGAGCAGCCCGGAGCGCCCGCTCCCCGGGGACCCGGCCGGCGCTGGCCTCCCTCCTCCTCCTCCTGTTGCTGCTCAGGCGGGACGCGGCGGCGCAGAAAGGTGCGTGCGGGAGCCCCGCCGGGAGGGGAGGGACCAGAGCCTTCCCGCCTTTCTTGCTTGGCGCCCACCCAAAAGCCCGCCGGGTTTTCGCGCCTTCCTCCAGTAGGCCGGCCGAAGCGAGCGGCGATGGGGATGTTGGCGAGGCTCGCTCGCTCGCGCCCCGCGTGTGCTCGCCGCCGCCGCCCCGCCTCTCGCCGCCCGACTCGCCCGCCTCCCTCCCACGGCACACCAGCCGGTGTCTCACGGCACACTAGTGTGCCGCGGAACACCGGTTGGGAAACACTGCCTTAAAGCACGGGTCCTCTCGGGACAGGAATTCATCTATGAAACTATTATACTCTAGCTACTAATTTAACATAAATGAGTCTTGTGATCTAATACTATCACAGAAGTACTAGTAGGGAATCTCTTTCCCCTCCATTGCCTATTTTGGACTGTAATCTCCTTGTGGGTAGAGATCTGTATTTTATCCATGAAACTATGCAAGACCGATTACCTGTGTATAAAACAATAACAAATCATTAATGTTAGATCTGAGTGGGAGTTGGGGCAAAGAGAGTTTCAGTCAGCATTTAAGTACTTACAAGTGAAGGCACTGTGAATATCTGTACCGAAAGGTCAGCAATTGAGTACTCTCTGTCGTGGTCATCTTTCACATAATCATTCTGCAATCGCTCATAATTCTATTAAAGAAGGAGGCAAAAAAGGCAAAGGGTGCCAACTATCAGTTTAAAAAAGGAACCACTACTCACCAGAGTAGGCACAGTGAAGAGCTGAACAGAGAGAGCAGTCACCGACACTGGCCGCTCGTGATCATCCTCCATAAAATCTCTCTGCAGCTGCCGATAATTCTAAACAACAAGGGGGAAATTCACCTCTAATCTGCACTGACCAGATGTTCTAACTAAATTTAAAGCTGGCGATGGGAAGATTTTGTAGTAAAAACTGCATTTGTGCAGAAGCAGTGCAAACAAACTTGCAGTATCATCACAATTTACCAGACCATTAATAAGCACATTTATAGCAACAGTTACTTGTGTCAAGCAAAAGGAAGTCAGTTAGAAGTCGTCATAAGGAAATGCTATTGGGTTTAGCCAATATTTAGAGGTCATATTTAAGAATAATTCTTATTTTTCAGATTACATGGTTGACTACTCCAAGTTATTCGAAAATGACGCCTGACTTCATTCCACAACACAACAGCCCTCTTCAGACGATCTTTCAGGCTTCATAAACCACAGTTAGCGAGGAATGAGAGCTCCTCCCTCCCCAAGCCATTTGCCAGTTTCAGCACAATGATTCCGGCTTGTATTAAGCCAGGGTTCACCATTACGCCTGGTTTAACCTTGGTTAACTGCTTTTTTATTTGGATTGTTAGGCACATCCAGCAAAAGTGGTAACATGTGCCATCCAAATCACATAGGAATATACATTTCCACATTTAGGCTGTGATCCAAAGCTTCCACATTGACTTTAATATTGAGGCCAGCTTTTGTGCACGGCATCTAAACAGTAACATGCAGATCTTCCCAAACATCAAGTCATCAGGCAGTCCTTTTGCATGTAGGAATACCATGTACAACCCAGAACTCAAAAATGCATAAGGAGCCTTTGGCACCAAGTTGTTACTATTTAGTGCAGGCATGGCCAAACTTGGCCCTCCAGCTGTTTTGGGACTACAGTTTCCCATCATCCCTGACCACTGGTCCTGTTAGCTATGGGATGATGGGAGTTGTAGTCCCAAAACAGCTGGAGGGCCAAGTTTGGCCATGCCTGATTTAGTGTAGCAATCTATGTGTTCCACTATGTGGTGCTGACCTTTAAAAACCCCTAAAAGCCTCATCCCAGTATACCTGAAGCAGCGTCTCCACCCCCATTCATTCAGCCCAGACACTGAGGTCCAGCAGTGAGGGCCTTCTGGCGGTTCCCTTCCTGTGACGAATTGAGGTTACAGAGAACCAGGCAGAAAGGCTTCTTGGTATGTGGCCGCCCCGCCCTGTGAACCACCCTCCCATCAGATGTCAAGAAATAAATACAACTATCTGACTTTTAGAAGACATCTGAAAGGCAGTCCTGTTTAGGAAGTTTTTTAGTGTTTGACATGCTATTGTGCTTTTTAATTTTCTGTTGGGAGCTGTTTGGAAAACCCAGCCAGTGGCAGGGTGTAAGTAATAAATAATAATACCTGAAAAGTCACACTTTGCATTCTAAAGTAATTTCATTAAGAAAGTTACTCACCCTTGCAAATCGGATAGCAAAGAGCTTCTTTGTACTTCAAATCCATAAGTAGGCTGCTCATGAATAACTGATGGTACACACTTCTAGCTCCTGTTGTTTGTTTAAAAAAAGATACATATCAATGTGGAGTACTATTATATGATAGCACCATCCAAATACTTTAGAGCAATCATCAAGTTTTGACAATGTGCTGATGCAGAGACTGAAATAGTTAAATCATTTTGTTAAGCTGTCATGAAGATAAGGTGTCCTAACAACTTGAGTGGGGCTCACTCCCTATTAAGCGTGTTTAGGACTGCAGCCTTAAAAGACTTGTTTTACCAAAAAAAGCAACTCCAAGGGCCTTCTGGTGGTTCCCTCACTGCGAAAAGTGAGGTTACAGGGAACCAGGCAGAGGGCCTTCTCGGTAGTGGCAACTGCCTTGCGGAACGCCCTCCCTTCAGATGTCAAGGAAATAAACAACTATCTGACTTTTAGAAGACATCTGAAGGCAGCCCTGTTTTTAAGGATTGATGTTTTATCTTGCTTTTAGATTCAGGTAGGTAGCCGTGTTGGTCTGACGCAGTCGAAATATATTAAAAAATATATAAAAAATTGTCCAGTAGCACCTTAGAGACCAACTAAGTTTGTTCTTGGTATAAGCTTTCGTGTGCATGTACACTTCTTCAGATATCAAGATAACAATTTATCTTGTTTTTAATATTCTGTTGGGAGCCGCCCAGAGTGGTTGGTGAAACCCAGCCAGATGGGCGGGGTATAAATAATAATCAATCAATCAATGTATTGTTTTTGTTGTTATGCAGCAGCAGCATCTTACACCAGCCATGTGGGAAGGTGTCCAAAAGGGGGAAGCCTTGCACAGTACAGCACAGGAAGCATAGCAAGACGTGGCATAGCATTAAGAAGCACCCACAGTCTACATCTCTGCTGCTCCAGAAATTTGGAGGTGTAGGTGCTTGTTCTGAGCTTGGCAGAGATCAATGCCTCACTACTTCTAGCCTTGCTTCTTATGATATCCTGAGCAGCACTTTCCTCTTGACAGTGCCTTCCACCAAGACTGCAGTAAACCAGGAGTAAACTAAGATATATGAATTTCGTATCTGAGTACCTAAAGTCTGTGCCCATCCCTCTCATCACAGCTGCTTTTTGCTCTGATTTATCTAGGCTGCTCTAGCTGTGTGAAAGAAGATGCGTTCCCAGCAACCGGACTGTGGTGCAGGTAGATTCTTAAAACAAGAAGGAATAGCCCACCTTTCCAGAGCTTAGAATCGGACAGCATTAGTTTATCCACAAGAGAAGAGTTTTCTCCTTCTGGTCCCTCCTGTAAGCCAACTTGACACAATATTCTTCGAAGGCCATCTAATTAAGGAGAAACAGTAATACGAGAACCAAAAGGATTAACTGGTTTGCTTTAATCATCCGTTTTGTGCATAAAACTCAGTTGTATGTAAGACATTTAAATCCCCAACATGCACATTCTTAAAATAGAAGGCATTCATCTTTATTTTGTATGTACTACAGATATGCATGATCTTGCAGAATAGGCTGTCTCCAACATAGAAAGCTTAAGTGATGTAAGGTCATTAGAGGAGAATCGTATTTAGAAAGCAGACAAGTGGGACCTGAAATTGCTCAGGGATAGGGATGACTTGCAGTCAGGAAATGGCATGGGAGAAATATAAAACTCTCCCTACTTCGGGTGCCCTTGTGGCTGATTTGAGGAAAGGAAAAGAATGTTGGGAGATTCTTTCAGGGACTTTCCGCACCACAAGTAGCTTCGCCCTCATGCTTTAAGTAAACTGGACCAATAAGCCCGAACACACATATTTTTGTTATGTTTGCACCATGTCCACAAGACCATGTCAGTCTATCATTCTGTCCCTAGAAAGAGGAATTTTCTGCTTTTCAATCATGACTTTTCTCTTTCAGCTATATCATAAGTGTTTCAAATTTCAGTACCTGAATATCCAATAATATTGCCAAGCCAAGTTAGAAGCTTCAAACCAAAACTCTGATGGGCAACAATAGATGAATGCATAACTTGAACCTTCAGCGGCTTAGTCTGGCGACTGGTACTTCTCTTAAGGAAAGGAAAAAGGGCAGGGAAAAGAGAAGCCATTAACAGGTTTTGCCCCAAACACAGCACTTTTCTTTTCAAGTTCGTACAGTTAAGACATAGAATAATCCCAGGCAACTGGATTTTCATGGTTTTTACAAGCTTTCCCAATATCTAGTACTATATGCCTACACTTTGTAATGCAAAGAATGGTAAAACTTGTATTCTGTTTCTAATTCTGAAGGTGAACAGCCTTAGGAACAATTGAAATTAGTCCATCACCACATGTAGGTTCAACTTCCCTTACCCTTTCTGGCTCTGACAGATATGACTACAGCCAAGGGCTTCCAACTATCTGTAACTGCAGATGGAGAGCACATCACTTTTCTGAGAGGCATGGGGAGAACATGAGTTCAAGGCTTCTTTCCCAACAACAGATTTCAGTCTTCAATCCCATTATGCAATTAAATGACATAGTCAAGGCCAAAAGTGCCAAGTATCTATTCACCACAATGCAGGTCCCAGTCTAGTTTGGACATTGTGCATGTAATTCAGTGATGACTGCAGAGAAACATTATGGCTACGCTCTTTTGAATACACATTTTTTGATCCAGTAGATGTATCTGCTGAACTTTGCTTCTTAGCATGAGTCATACATGTTGGACTGGATTTCTTCATTAGACCCCCCAGAATCATAGGGAAACCTTGAGCTGAAAATATACATTTTCCCTTTCAATCCTATGCATCTTTACTCACAAACAGTATAGCAATTTGAAGGAAAACATCAGCACTTTGAATTTTGCCTGGAAATAAGACTGGGAGCCAATTCAACACTTTAAGCACTTGTGAGCTGTCATCCCAATACTCAATACCCACTTAACAGTGCAGCAATTATACTCTGAATTATATTTAGTTTCCAGTCTTCAAAGGCAACTCCATGTACAATACATTGCAGTAATCTAATCTGGAGGTTACCACAATTTTAAAGTAGAATGTGCCAATTTTTAGTTTTTGAAGAATGATAGAACCATCAAGCAAGTGACTTACAAGGCATGCTGCCACTTCCATCAGAGACATCTAACATTTCCTTAACATTCTTAAAATGTCACATACAGTTTTAAAATGTTAATGGGCAGATATGCTATAACAGTGAATTGATTATAATGAAGTAAGGATAGATACCATTCAGTTAAGGGAAATGAAGCAATGTCACTTACCACTATCACTGATTTGGCTTGGTCACAGTACTGAAAGTCTCCATAGCGAACTGACCTGCGTCCCTGTTAAACAGTTACATTAATTAAAGATATAACCAAAACTTTAAATAATATGTTTTGATTGCACGTTGAAGTCACCTACATTTCTAACCCTTGAATTAGACTGCTTGAATTAAATCAACCCTATACCAACAATGACTTCTGCTAAATAGCACATATTAACACAATTAAACTTGTGTTAAATATATTTAACATAAATTAAAATGTCATATGTTCAGTTTAAGTAAGCAGTATGTATATATGCTTCACATATGTTTATCATGTAAATTGCAGTTATTGCTGATATAGCAAATATCACCTATGAAAAAGCAAACAAAACTATTAAATTCCTCAGCAATTCTGAAAGATCCACAATCTTATGATAACTATATACCGTATTTTTTGCTCTATAAGACACACTTTTCCCCTCCTAAAAAGTAAGGGGAAATGTGTGTGCGCCAGATGGAGTGCATGCAGGCTCCATGGCTTCAGCGAAAGCAAGGCAAAGCCTCCGGAGCGCAGCGGGAGTTCTCGCTGTGCTCCGGAGGCTTCGGGCGGCTATCCCTGAAGCCAGGAGAGCAAGAGGGATCAGTGCGCACTGATCCCTCTTGCTCTCCTGGCTTCGCTTTGTTGGAGAGGCGCTGCGCAGCTTTCATTCTCTGCGCAGCGCCCCTTCAGTGAAGTGGGAGGAAGGGGCTCCGCTTCTCCTGCTGCTTTGTTGAAGGGGCGCTGTGCAGAGAGGGAGAGCTGCGCAGCGCCCCTTCAGCGAAGCGGGAGGAGAAACGGAAGGGGCTGAAGGGGCACTGTGCAGAGAGGAGGAGAATTTTTTTTTCTTGTTCTCCCCCTCTAAAACTAGGTGTGTCTTATAGAGCGAAAAATACGGTACCTTAAATTATGTTTTGAGCTGGGATTTATTTAAAGAAACAAATAAATAAAAGGGGGTTTTTTAAGAGAGAGAAAGAGAAGCATACGCGTTATGATATCACATCACTCTAGGTGGTTAAGGCTAACCAGGGCTATAGACAGGCAAATCCAGTTTCCTGCCCCTGAATTAGACTGAGGCCCATTTTGGTTTTAGTTGAGTTTCATGTGTTAAATACTTATCCTAAATTACACTCTAGCAGAGGCTTCCATAACTGGAAGGGAGAGAGAGGAGGTTTTCATTGGAGCCAAGAGCCTCTGTGAATGCAGGGACATAATTAAGATACAACCATAGGGTGTGTTTTCTCCCACCCTTCAAAAAAACCCAAAAAACTGATTAAGCCATCTTACATGCAGTCTGATTATTGCATGAGAGGGAAATGGTTGAATAACCCTTAAGAAAGAAAGAGTTTATTGATCCAAAACACATTGGTTCTCACTGATTCTTGTGCATAATTTCGAGATTTGCTCTTTTTTGTGTCCTGTGCTAGTGCTTTCCCTCTGGCTGGTCTTTTATTATTATTATTATTTTTCAGATTTCAGCAGCAGCCACACACCCTCCATAATGAACTTTCAGCCTCAGAGTGCGCATGTTGCTTGTAAAATATTCAGTACTACAAAGATTGGAGAGCCTCACTTCGTTTTTTACAGGTTTTGCCTCTATGTTACATTAGAAAAGACTGGCTAAAATATGTTTTCTTGGTGGATGGTGTAAGAAGAGAGGAGGTTTTCTCAAATTTCTCAAAAGTGCTTTCCCAGAGACTCACTGTGAAGTTAACTTGCTAAAGCATTGCCAAAGAATCTCAGGCTGGGAAGGAATCCAGGAAGGAAGTGTCCCAACTTTCACAGCATGATTTGCAAAGTGGAGGTGGGGGAGCAAAACTGTATGTTATCAAGTATGCTCCTGCCAAGAGGGCCAATTGCAGCAAGTATAATCAAGGAATGAACTAATGAACTATGCTCCAGTGTTGCTTTGGAAATTGCCTAGCTCCTTCTATTTCTCCAAATAAGGTAAATGGTTGATCAGCTAGCAGGAAGGAAGAATGGAAGGAACTACAGGACTAAATCCTCTTAAACTGACCAAGCTTAATCATTTTTACCCAATATTTCAATGGAAGTCTAAAGAGCTTACTTACATCTCTGTCTACAGTTGTTGCGAAACCAATGGCTTCCTTTTGTGTGCAATTGACAGCTTTTTGAAGAGTGTAAATAACCTGTTCGTATGTGTGAACTTCATCGTTAAAAAGCATGCAGAAGTAAGTATCCGTCTTCTCACTGTAAAGACAGTATTACGAATAAGGAATATAATTAATTTAAATCAATCAAGGTATTTTTTCTGGCATTTCAATACTTCTATTTACTGGAATCTCTATTAAGGAAACATACTGAATCAGCAATAGGAAGATGGAGGGCTCTTGTGATTAATTTTACTACCGTGCCTTGCGTGAGTGGAAAACTACTTCTGCTTGTACATGACAGCCTTGCCGAATTCCTCTAATTTCCCAATCCAACTGACCCTCTGTGGGCCATCCCGCAGGGACTACCAAGCTTCAGGAGCAACTTGGGGAGGGGCAGAGGGAGTTATAGTGAGGAACATCCTACTGCACAGGTGGAGTTTTGTTTTATGTTCTCTGGATCCAAGTTATTATATTATCCTACGGGATATGCTGGATCCTATCACTATTTTCAATGACATTAGCTTACTATAAAGGTAAAGGTAAAGGTACCCCTGCCCGTACGGGCCAGTCTTGACAGACTCTAGGGTTGTGCGCCCATCTCACTCAAGAGGCCGAGGGCCAGTGCTGTCCGGAGACACTTCCGGGTCACGTGGCCAGCGTGACATCGCTGCTCTGGCGAGCCAGAGCCACACACGGAAACGCCGTTACCTTCCCGCTAGTAAGCGGTCCCTATTTATCTACTTGCACCCGGGGGTGCTTTCGAACTGCTAGGTTGGCAGGCGCTGGGACCGAGCAGCAGGAGCGCACCCCGCCACGGGGATTCGAACCGCCGACCTTTCGATTGGCAAGCCCTAGGCGCTGAGGCTTTTACCCACAGCGCCACCCGCGTCCCTAGCTTACTATAGTGGTGCCAAATTGCATTAGATACTATTGGCAAGAAGCATTATTCTACAAAAAACCCCAACCACTAATTTCTTTGGTAAATAAAGGAGGAGAGGGAGAGAGAACAGACTTTTCAATAAGAAAAAAAACAATATAATACTTTAGAGAAGTGTATTAAAAACATTTCCCTTTTAGCCTCAAGGAACAGCTATTTTAAGCATGTTTAGTTAAAGCTATGTCCCACTGAATGCAATAGCATTTACTCTCAAGTAAGATATATCCACTGAGCGCAATCCCGAGAAAACTGATCACATTGAAGACCCGCTGAAACTGATTTGATGTAAATGTGTGTCACACTTATTTTAATGGGACTAAAGCATTGGCAACTCTTTTAAGGATGCACACAATGTCATTTATGAATTAAGAGGCAGCTAACATTTTTCCATTAAAAACTGTGCCAGTCTTGGAAGTTCAAACAGCAATTTTACTTACACTGTCTCTAAACCAGGTGGTAAATCGTTTTCTTTTTCCCATGTTAAAATATCTACAGCATACTGAAACATGATAGCAAAAATATTGTAAACTTTTGCTATCATATCTTCTGTCAGATGCACAAGAGGATCCTAAAATGAAAAAAGGAGGAAAGTGTTAACATCAAGGTAATAATTTCTAACATTTCCCCTACAGCTAAAAGAAGCTTAACACATCAAAGTTAATTATTTGAAAATTCTTATACCCTAGTCCAGGCATAGGCAAACTTGGCCCGCCAGATGTTTTGGGACTACAACTCCCATCATCTCTAGCTAACAGGACCAGTGGTCAGGGATGATGGGAATTGTAGTTTCAAAACATCTGGAGGGCCGGGTTTGCCTACGCTTGCCCTAGTCAATGAGATCTGGCTGCTAGAAAGACTAGAAAAATCATTTTAGTGTTAAAAGCTCCTGAAGTGAAGAACAAGATACTTAAATACAGAAAACATAAGAAAGCACACCTGACTGAAATAACAATCTTGATGTATTCTCTCCTGCTTTGTACAGGAGGAAGCAAAGATGTCATTTGGGTGGCGTGGCTGAGCCTAGAGTTAGGCCAGAGAGTGAGCTCTCAAATTTTGTTCTCTGTCCAAATCGGAGTTACCTGAGCAACAGCACAAATTAATTTCCAAAACCTGTGTATCCTTACCTCCTCTTCTTCTGTTTCTGAAGTGTTATGTTCATGCTTCTGGCAGTATGGACCTTCTTTCCAAGCTTCAGTATCGCCACAGTCACAGAAACCTCCTCCACCAGATGTTGTCATCTACAGCATTATTTTAAAATAAATATGAACAAGAAAGTATGCTTCATAAATGAAAACCAGGCTGGTAAACTCTCTATCCGGAACTGATTGGCAATCTGGGACACAGTGAAGAAGACCTGAGAGACAATTTAGAGATTCGTGGTGGTTTTCCAATCCTTGTGATGTTAAGTTAAATGGCTGCTTTAAAGTTTTGTATAACAAATCCTATACTCAATGGAGCAGAGACTACAGGAATGTCCTTTGGGCTCACCACCAGAATAAGGCTCCATCTTCCAGTAATAGCCCTGACAGCTGGCTGCTCCCAGTGCCAAAGGATCAGCAAGTCTTATGAAAGGGCAGAGGGGAAGGAAAGTCATTATTACCTTTCAAACTAAGGGTAAATCAATGATATGAGCTATAGCAAGCAGAATTCTCCTTGCTTTTAGAGCTAAGCAGGGTGTATTCTCCAGGTCTGTCCTGCCTGCTTTTTTATGAACAAGGATTCAATAGATTCTGTTCCAGCTCAAGCCTCTACTCGTGATAAAATGCCTACAGGAGAAGATCCTACTATTGTACTAAAATATGAGGTCATACAGACAAATCAGCAGACATGATCTTGGAATCATACATTATAGGAATTATTGTATAGAATAAAAGAACAAGAATCACTTGAGTTTACTGCATGACTCACTTATTCCAGTTCCAATTTTAGGTTAGATTATGGAAAATACTGACTGGTTGGCCTTATGATTATTAGTTCTGCTAACTTACATACTTCAAGGAATGCACTTCCCAAAGAAATTACAGGAAGTTTCTCCCTGCTCCAGCAAGTGAATTAGGCGATAACAAGATAAGGACTATCTCATTCTTCTTCAGTTAGCAGCTATTCTAATGAGACAGTGAATCTGGCTGTTAACCAGTAGGTTGGTAGTTCAAGTCAACCTCGGGTCGGCTGTGGGCAGGATACCTGTATTGCAGCGGGTTGGGCTAGATGACCCTTGGGATCCCTTCCAATGCTGATTCTATGAGTCTATAATCTATGTTAAGCAATCAGAGCAAAAAACAGATCCAACTTAAAGATAAGGTAATGGAGAGTGAAGCCTTTCCCTTACTTTAAGTCTGCAATTTATTATGTTTAATATGTGAACTTGTATGAAGCATATTATGGGATGGCAGTGTAGAGAAGCAAAATCTGAAAGGGGTAAAATGCCTGACGAAAGCTATGGGATTAATTTCAGGTTCAAAGTAAATAATAATAATAATAATGCAACCTACAGTATACAAAGACTGAACTACATAACTTCAGACTATCAGTGGTGTGGTGTTTTAAGGACTTGTGTTGTTTCATAGTGGGGGTTTTTTTAACCTCATTTGACTTTGTTGTAAGCTGCCCTGGGGCATGGGAAAGGGCATAAACCATTCTTAGAAAAACAAACATGATACCATACACAACGTATCTGTATTGTTGTGCCATCAAAACTGATCACAGCTGATTAGTAGGAATTAACATTTGCAGACTCGTGATAATTTCTGTAAAGGGGAAGGAAATCCAAAGTTGGGCCGGGGGGGGACGGGGGACTGAAGATCAACAAACCACCAAATCCAGAGCCCTACTGGGCACATGGCCTCAGGCTAAGAGGGAGAAGAACCATTTCACCTGTCCCCTTTCTGTTTTTTCAAAAATGATTTATCTCCTATTGTTTCCAATAGGAAGGAACATGAGCCGGCTCCAGGGCTGTCGTATTAATTCCCTCTGCTTTTGGGATGTGTGTATCAAGGAAGAAGGGGTATCAAGGAAGTGGGAACACTGACCCATCTCTGTGGCATCTACTGGTTTCAGAGCTCAAAGTTGGTAAGATAGGGCTGTAGAGGTTCCTGTGACAGCTTGGAGGGGGGCAAACTAGGTCAGATCTCCCATGAGTTTGCACCACTGCCTCCACCCTCACAGGGGGAACTGAAACATCCTATGGTCCCTAGGATGCCCTGTCTGGGACCATAGGATTGCAGCCAAAATACCTATTTATTTGTTAATTTCAGCCTTTAGTGCGTCATATGTTCAGTGATAAAATGGATATACTGGAGATGCTGTTTTCTTCTTTTAAATAACAGTGCTGAGTTATTTGTGAGCATAAGGCAGCTGCTGTGTCATAACTGGTTGACGCATTCATTATTGTCTGTGATTACTCTCATTAAGCCCCTCTACCTACACTTACACCTATGCTCTAAGGAAATGAACTTCAAAGTCAAACTTTTAGTTTCTGAAAGCCGCAACATTTAATGTTACTCAAAGTACTGATCTGTGAGAAAACATCAGGGCTGCCTAGGCAAGTGGGAGGACTTCCTACATACTGAATTTCATAGCTTTTGTAATGCTACATTTGCATTGGGGAGCAGAGGAAGAGAGAGGGAGGAGAGGAAAAGGTAATGGGGGGAAAGTGTGATAAAATATACACTCATTTTGATTTGACCAAGTCACAAATTTGATACTGAATGAGACATCACTAAAATCCACATAGGCTTACTAACCCTGTATCGATGCTCTCTGTGAACACTTCCCAGGAAACATTCCATGCAAAGCACGCAAGTTGGATCAACAGCACAATCTCTGACAAAAAAAGAGAGTAGAAAAACATGTTAATAAAAGGGCCAACTACACAATGTTTAGGATGAATTTCTATACATATTTAACTAAAAACAAGCTCACTGAATTCAATAGGACACTTCTGAGAAGATCTGTATAGGATTGCACTGTCAACTGCTTGAGAAAGACTGTAATGTATATCGGACACAACCTTAAGGACCTTCTAATGCAGATGGAAATATTAATTATACTTATAATATGTTGTTGTTACAATTATTTATTGAATTCATATACAGCCTAGACCCGTGGTGAAAAAGTCATGTTTCTGCATGTTGGGTGTGTCCTTTCCGATTGCTTTTTTTAAAACTACAGATATAAGGATTACGGTAAAGATTATAATGGTGCCATTATGGGTGGCTTAGAGGAGAACTGCTATAACAGTGGTGTGATTGGGAGAGAAGAGGGGAGATATGTTCCTTCTGACAAGCCTGAAATGTTTGCACTGAATCGAACAACTCCCCCAAGTGATATGTTGAAGTCCCCCCACAGTAGACCCATTCAAATTAATGGCCCCAACTTAGTTGTGTTCATTAATTTATATGAACCTACTCTTCAGTAAAATTTAGTTGAACACAACCCTATATTTCTCTGGGGAGCTGACAAGTTGCTAAATCTGGAAGTTCTGTATGTATGTGGGACCCAAGCCTACTCATTTATGTGAGAGGAGAGAGGGGAAATAGTGTTTAAGTATGGACAACCCACCACAACTTCTGCATCCTGACACCCAATTTTGAGAAAGAGCTGCTGAAATTCCAAAGATTCGTGACACTTTGAAACTATGAGGACTAAAATTACGGAGAAACAAAAACTGCAGTTCAAAACCACTACCTGCCCAGAAACCAAAGAATTAAAAAGTACTAAATGGCAGCCACAAATAACCCAAACAGGTTGGGTTTTTGCCTGTTCTTTGGAACCAGAGATCAGATATAAGAAGGGTATCAAATTGTGCCTCGTGAGTATGTAGCCTGATCTAGTTGGACCTAACGGAAAAAGGGGAGGAGGCGTTTTTTGCCAAAATCCTGCATCCAGTTACAACCTCCTACACCACTCCCACGCAGCCCACCATCTGCAGCATGTAGCTGCCTTTCTTCAACTTCAACTGGTATGCCAACTACGACAGTTCCTGGGCAGGGAACCTGCTTTCACTGGATTTACTGGATTGCTTTTATTGTAAACTGCCCTCAATTTTTTAATGAGTGGTGGTATTAAAAATGTTTTTAAATAAATAAATAAATAGAGCTCAAATCATTCAACTGTTAAGGGGCTTGACAGTTTAAAAGAAGTGACTAGTTACCTGCAAGAGTATGTAGGCTCGCCAACTTTAAACACCCGACCACAAAGATGTGAAGGTTTGTTGGATTGCTCAAGTTTCTGAAAGCCAAATGCAGGGTCTTCACCGCATAGGTACCATTCCATTGGTCCCAGCAAAACCTGTTGCGCAAGCAAATCTTCGCTTTGTGGGGCTGGATTAGGACCCCTACAGTAAATTTTGGGTACATAGTAGGCAAGGTGCTTGTATATTTCTTTTGGAAGATCAGGTGTTTGCAGCCATTTCTATAAGGGGGGAAAAGTTAATACACATTAGCACTGCCTCCCAGAGTTCTTTGCTCTCCTGCCTCTGTCACACGATGAGACAAAATACCCAACCCATTCAGGCCATCAGCAAACATCTCAAATTAAAAAAATATTTCATAGCTTTCCAGCATATTTCTTTATGAAAATACTACAGTGGTGGTAGAACTTTCCTATGCAGTATAACATCTCTACAACTATCAATATAATTTTAATGTCTACAGTCCAGAGAGATACTTTGAGCATATCCAAGAGCACATCCATGACCAATCAGTTGTCAACTTTTTTCCTTTTAAAAGCTGCAAGTTTCAAAGTAGTTTATCATGTGGCAATGCGTACACAGAGATGTACAATAAATACAAGTCTAAAGTCAAACTGACAACTAGCTGGAGGACCCTTTGAAAAGTGGCTGTTGCC